GCTGGTCGAGCTCCTGCGCGGTGTACCTTACCATTCCTATGAGTCCGTTGCCCAAGGAGTCGTCGTCGGTAGCGCCCATGCATTTTCAGGCGAAGTCGACGAACTCGCAATCTGTCTTGGTGCTTCCGTCTCATGTGCTTGGCCAGCCGTCGTCGTCCGCCTGTGTAGTTAGTGCCCAGGTAGGTGGCCCTCCTCTGGTTCACGTTGAGCACTAGGCCCAGCTGCTCGGCGACTTCCCTGCTGATGCTGACTGAACTGGCGACGACCACCACCTTCTCATTGAGTAGCGCTCCCAAGCGCTTGGAAGTGGCGAAGAAGTCTTTCCCAGCGCGCGCTGCCCTTCCTGGATTCGCGATGCCCCTTGCGTCGCCGTTGACGCCAGGCGGGGCGTCGTCGATGTAGGATGAGAACCTCGCCAGGGGGCGGGGGGTGACGTGCTGATCGTACTGCTCTAGAGCATGCGCCTTGGTGACCACGTCAGCATAGCCGCCCCCATCATGCGCATGCCGAAGTTGCGTTCCATGGTGTTGGCGAAGACGCACGATTCGCGGCCCTTATCATTGGGTGTAGATCACCTTCGTCGCGGGCACGGGCATGCCCAGTCGCACCGCCTTATCTCGAGCTTCATCCGGGAAGATGGTCTCGTAGTGCACCCTGTAGTCTGCGATGATAGTGGCTGCGTAGCGCCCCATGGATGCATTCTGCTCCGCGTCCGCAGCCAGGGCCCAGGCGCTGTCAAGCGAACCCTCGTTATTCGCCGCGCCCCAAGAAGTGAACGCGCCAACGGCTGCTGTACATGTGGCAGTGCTGGCTTCAGCAGGCGCTGCCGTACTCGGCATGCCATTGAGTGCGATGCTATCAGCCTGTGTCCACCTGCTGCCTTGGGTAACATCGGCATCACCGTCCACGCGAGCTGTGTCGGGAAGGGTCCAAGTGCTTTGCGCGCCAACATGGTGCCACGCAAAGCTTCCAGTGCGTCGTCGCTCAGGTGCCGCGGGTGGGCGGGGTGGAAGCCGTCGAGGCCGCTGGGGGACTTCGCGCTGAAGGAATCGAAGGCCATTTTGGTGCCCGCTGGTATCGGGCGATGTAGGGTGGATCGGTCCGGGATCCTCGCCTCTGGGGCTGCCGTAGTAGCCCTCCAAAGTGCTGCATGCTTGTCCCCCATGTCCTTCGCGATGTAATGCGGGTGTCCTGAGACGCCATGCTCGCAAGCATTCGCTGTCGTAGGCGCCCGCGAGCTTCTGACTCGGGTGAGGCGATGGAACTTGCATGCGCCTCCAGCGCAGGCACCGTCGCACCATCCCTTCCACCGTCGGTTGAAATCTTTGTTGACAAGCTGCACGGCATGGTTGATGTCCCCATCCAGATCCTCCAAGAGGTGGGTGATGTCATGGCGTGCGCACGCCCTTTGGACAAACCACCTTGCCTGCTGCGCCGAGGAGTCAAATCGCGCGCTGATATCATGCCCAACGTGCTCTACAGTAAGGAAGCCCTGCACCTCATCATCGTGGGTGGGTCGCCCCGCAGCATCTCGAGCTCCATTTTTCGCAGTGACCAGCCCATGCATGCAGTGTTGGAGCCACCTCCAGCCATCGGCAATAGCCCGCGCCTCCTCATTGGACACACTCTCATGAGAACGCTCTACCCACTGTGGTTGCAGCGAGCGAGCATGGGAACTAGCCTGGACGTCAGCGCTGGCGAGGTGTCTAATACGCATCGCAGCTCGAACGGCCCATGTACCCCACGCCTCAGATAGGAAACGCCACGCTACCGTCGCCGTCTTCTCCTTGGCCATGCGTGGGGCCCCCGCTGCAAATCCTCGCCCCAGTGAGCGAGGTATCCTGCTCCGAGAAAGGGCCGTGCACCACCTGGGAAGTGAGCTTCGCCCCCCCCAGCGCGCGTGAGATGCCGTGCCTTGCTGCCCCCCGCCGCGAATTGCAGCTGCCCTGGCCGGCGTGGTTTCGCAATCCGTCCAGGTACCGCGCTGCGCGTAGCCAGCGGCGTATCCATGGCCCCCTGTTGAGAGCCCGAAGTAGTTCAGCGCGGTGAGGCTCGATGCCGCCCTGTGAGCAGGGTGGCGCGGCACCGCCAACTCCACCTGCGCATGCACGAGGCACCGCCAGCATCGCGCGCCACCCGTGAATCCACCTTCCAGTCGCCGCCCACGATGCTGGGCTAACGCTGCCCCGCCATGGCGAGACCCGCCGTCGCGGGAATCTTCGCGCTGCGCATGCTCATGCTCTCCGCCGCGCGCAGGTGGATGTCGAGGGCGCCGATGGGCGGCCAACGCGGCAGCTCCACGACCGCATGCTCCGCTCTACCTGCCGCCAGCTCCGCGCCGTAGGCGACCCCAGCATTCGCGTCTCCTACGCGGCGCTGCGGGGCTTCACTTGGGCAAGTTGGTCCTCGACGCCCGACTCCTTCCCGAGCGAAGACTGCAATCCCTGCTGACGGTAAGTGTTCTGAAGCCGCCTCGCCTGGTGCAGTTAGGCATTGCCACCCGTGCGCTGCGGGCCACGAGCCCAGACTCTCGCAGTCGCCAATGGCATGCCCGCTCTCTTGTGCCAAGCTGACCATTGTTGTAGACCGTCGAAGCCGTCGCTGCTGGGTCGTCTTACCGTGGTTCGAATTGAACGTCTCGAAGGTGTGCGTCGTCTTGAGCAGCTCGGGAATCTCCTGGAGTAGTGAGCGGGGGCGATGCAGACGAAGCCCGCTGACCCGCGGACGAGCGTCGCCCACCAGAACAGCCACCTGTGCGCGCAGGCCCGTCTGCAGTCCTGCGGTGCTTGGCGTCGCGCCCAGAGCTGCTCAACGTCCTGCTTGACCAGGGCCCCGAACTGGACCTCTCCTGCTCCGAGCTTTTCAGCTCGACCTTGGAAGTGATCCTCGTCCACTGGGCCAGTGCATCCTGCTTCCTGCAAGGTTGCTCATCGTCATCATCGCCATGTTCAGGAACGGGAGTAGCTGCAGCCGCCGAGGCCAGCTTCCCTTCGACCTTCTTGCACAAGGCTTCCCTAGTCTTCCTGAAGCGGGGGCTGGCCTTGAACGCCGCCAGCGCCTCTTTCGCCTCACGAGTTTGGAAAATCTCACCGTCGGAGTCGAACTCGACGATGTATTCCGCCGCGAAGCTGGCCAGCTTCGTCTTCGCCGTCGGCTGTTCACCTCGCGCTTCCAGTAACGCACGCTCCTGCTTATCCGATTCCAGCATGAAGACCTCCACTTCGGCGCGCTTTGCCGTGATGGCCTCCTGCTTCTCCTGGATCTTCTCGGTGACACTCGCGAGCTGCTCGTGTAAGCTCTTGAGGTCGCTTTCGTACCTGTCCAGCTGCTGCCTGCACTTCGCCAGCTTCTGCGTCGTGGCTTTGTGCGCAGCACGTGGGGTGCGAAGTGTCCGTGCTTGCTGTTGTAAGTCCTCGAGCGCACGTTCGTGAAGAAGGTGCAGTGGCCTTCCGTCCTTCTCCACCGTGCTGCACTTCTTGAGGTCCTTCTCGTGGTAGTTGATCTTCTCCTGCAGGGCGGTCCGCTGGTGGAGGCTGGACTCGTCGCCGTCCTGCTCCCCCTTGGACGGCACACTCGGCTTGGGCGGAGCTGTTCCCGTGCCAAGGTGCCGAAGTCTTCTTAGCGAACTGGGCCACCTACTGCGCGAGCGCCCGCATCTGCTCCCCGAGGCCGACGTACTCCTTGGACCACGGGGCGAGCTTGCGTACCATCTGTCCTGAGGTAGCAGCACCCGCCCTTGCAGGACGTCGTTGGTCTTCTTCGACACGAAGGTCCTGATCCGCCAACTCGGCAGCATCGACCACGCGCTGCGGAGCCGACTTCCCGCAGGAACACGTTATGCGGGACGCCCAGTTGTTCGCCTTGCCGCAGGAGCAGCCCCAGAACGGCGTTTTGGGACCTCGCAGCACCGGCAACTGGGGGGGGGGGGCCAGGCGCCATCCTACCTGGCGAAGAGCTGTGCTGCTCCTCCAGCCGCCTCGCCGCTCGCCACAGGCGCCCCTGCAGCGCGGGCGAGGGCCTGCCAGACCAGGCGAGGAGGAGGGCGCGGTCCTCCGCGCGGCGCGAACGCGCCCTGTGGTGCGCCGCCGCCTCCCGCGGTGGCGGCGCCGTGGGCGCTGGCCCCAGCGCGCGATGGGGGGGGGACGCCCCCCTCGCGTGCCAGGCAAGCACCCACGGGGGGGAGTCCTCCCCCTCGCGAGCCGAAGCCTTGAGCCAAAATGGCTACGGAAGGAAGAGGAGGAGCAGGAAGGAGGAGGAGGAGGAGGAGGAGGAGGAGGAAGGAGGAGCAGGAAGGAGGAGGAGGAGGAGGAGGAGGAGGAGGAGGAGGAGGAGGAGGAGGAGGAGGAGGAGGAGGAGGAGGAGGAGGAGGAGGAGAAGGGGGAGGAAGACTCTTTCTGGATGGTTGCCCTGCACGCGTTTTCCGGCGCATTCGCTCCAAGTTCTCGCCACGCATGCTGGCCCAGACCAACGCGCGTGCGTCGGACGCCTTCGGCGACCAGAGTTTCCCTCGGAAAGGTCAGTACAAGTAGCGAGAGGGACAAGGGGGGAGGATGAGGTTAGGGATGTGGAAGGACGGGGACCAAAAAGGTATTACCGATACCGCCTCTCTACGGGTTTCTCCCTGGGGGTGTTCTGACCAGAACTCCGACGCGAATCCAGCTGCAGCGACGAGGGCCCCCCAGGAGGCCCAAAGAGGCGCAGACGGGAGAAGGGTATCGGTTTCGTTCTTTCCTCCTATAAGAAAATCGGGGATGGACAGAACCCCCTTACTAAAACGTGGTTTAGTGAAAACGACCTCGGGCCCAAACCTGGCGGGCGCAAGCCTGGAGAATGACGGCCGCGGTGCCCTCGAGAACCCAAAACGGACAATTCACTAATCGACGTACCAGGGTGGGGGTTCTGTAATTACGCCCTCGAGAAAGGGAGGAAGAGCTTAGGCTACGGCGCGCGCAAGCGCGCGCGCTGGCGCCACGTCAGTCCATCATCCGCGCGTGCGTGCGCGGCGCGGGGCAGCGGCGAAGTGCGCCGATTCTCAGACGAAGCCAGGACAGGGACACCATCGGACTGGGACGCATCGGGGATCTCTGAGATCCGGCGGGTCTGGAGGATGTACGGTGGGGGCATTGGGCACGAGACCTTTCGACTAAGGAATCCACGGTCTGGAAACCAGTGGGGCTCCAATCGTGGACTGGCCATGGATATCACCGCCGCCCTCATGAAAGAAGGAATCACCCAGGGTCTGAAGCCTCCTGGGCACATTCCTTAACCAACACCCCCACCGTGTTGGGCGCCGCGGCCCTATCAGAGAGCTCCAGAACGCTCTGAGAGCGTTCCGGGACGCTCTAGATCGATTGGTCCCCGCCTGAGCCCCGCGCGGAATTCCCCGGAGGGGCTGATCCGCAACCCGGCAGTCGCTCGCCCGCCTCCGCCAACCGACCACCGCCCGCTCGCCATCGCTCGGACGTCCATTCCTCATGTATTTCTCGATTCCGTGCGTGCTTCTTTCGCTACATCATCCAAAATGCTCCTCCATGGTCCTCGCCGAGGACAAAATTCGGGCGTTGGCAGAACTGGGTTTAGTGGGATCTGGTTTCGTGATATGTACTGGGGGATGCCCCCCCCGCCCCATTCCACTAACCGGAACTGCCGTGACCCGAAAAAAACAACTGCGGCACACCCGGTTTAATGATTCTGGCCAATTTAGGGGCTCCGGGGCCCTACTGCTAACCGGGTCCCCTCACCTGGGGTCCTGGCTATACCTGAAACGTGCACGCGTCCGAGCGATGCCAAGACCCTCCTCGACCCGCCCTCCGCCTTCTGTGTGTGCGCTGGCGCTCCCCCGGCGCCGCACCTGCCCCGCCCGAGCACGGCGGGCGGACCACGGGAGCCCCACGGTACCGGCTCGGCCACCGCAGCCCCGTCGGCGGCTCCAGCCGCTCGGGAGCGGATCCAGGGGGGGATTGTTTGGCGGCGAGCTAGGGGGGGAACTGAGAAGCAGAAGGCCTTCTCAGGAGGCGGCGGGGCTTCTCAGAGGGGCGGCGGGGCTTCTCAGAGGCCCTCGCACCTTCTGAGACGTTTTCTGTGTCTTCGGGGAGGGCTTAGAAAACTTCTCAGAAGGCCGGGGGACTTCCGAGCCGTCTGAGAAGGAATACCCCTTCTCACTTCCCCCCTCGCTCGCCGCCGACTTGTGGCGAAGGGTAGAGCTACGCGAGATGGCATAACCATAAATCGGTCTGCAACTTTTACTTGGCGTGTCGCGGTGGCGGCAGCCCTAGCGACACGCTGTACCCTTCGAGCGGATAGCGCGTCGCTCTGCTGGGAGCAGCTCGAGGCGTTGACGCTTGGTAAATGGGGATGTGGATAGCGTGCCGCGCCGATCCACGGTGGGCCAGAACCAACGGAGCGACACGCTGCGCCAGAGTTCCTGACCGTAGACCGTAGACGTCATCAACTTTCGGATGTCCACGCAGATTTATCAGGCCAGCGCTGCACCAACCTCCCCTTGCGCGCGAAGCGCGCTAGTGGCCGGCGCCGCCAGCAGGGACCCAGCGATGGCCCGAGATATCTGCGCGGTCCTCCGACAGTTTATGCTTTCGTTTTCCGATGCAGGATGAGAGAGATGTAGGAAGAGGGAATTCGTCACGTGATGCGAAGTTCCCCCTCTCCACTAGATCCCCCTCCTCTTCCTTCTCTTTATATTATCCTCCTCCTACTCCTCCTCCGATTCGCATCGCGTGACGGATCCAAATCGCCGAAGATGGCCCCCTCACACCGCCGGCGACCGGTATAGGTAGGGCAGCTGGGAAGGGTTGACCTGCTTCTGCTGCCGCGCCAGCGTGTCCTCGGAGGCGACGACCATCGGGGCCGCCACTTGGCCGTCCTGGCAGAGCAAAGCAATGCCAATACCATTACGGTGGGCAGTGGTTTCTGACACCGCGAGGATCGTTCAACCTGGAGCGATCAGTGCTTTCCGATTTCGCAGCGACAAATGGCAGGCCACTGACGGCGTTGAATAATGAGCCCCCGCGCTGGGATCGCCGCCGCGTCGACGCGGCGCGCACCTGCCGTTCACCCCAGAGGAGGCCCCAAAAAGGCGAACGAGAGAGAAGGGCATCGGCTTTTCCTTTGACGTCCTGCTCCATCTGCTCCCGCAGCGAGAGGGGCTGCTGTGCCCTGACCTTCTGTATCATCTTCTGCACGGAGGCCTGGGAGTGAACAGCACGCATCTGCGAGTTGGACTCCAGGACCATGGTGGCCTCGTCCCTTACCCTCTCGTCCACCACGGGCCCGTCCCCAGCGTTGGTAGAGTTGTCCCACTCCGCCTTCCCGTCGAGGTTGGCGCGGGCCGCGGCGCGGGCCCGCCTCCGGCTCGAGGTGGCGCTGACCGCGTCGCTGCCAGCGATGCTGGAGCCGTCGATTCCGTCCTCAAGGTTGCGGGGGCTGCCAGGCTCGGTGCTCTGCTCCTCCTCGTGCGCCACATTGAAATCGCGCACCAGCGATTCCTTGAAGGCCTCCTGCTCCTTCTTTAGCTTCCCGGTGCGGTCTTTGAGCGCCTCGAGGCCCTGGCGGAACTCCAGGTCACCCACGAACTTCTCGAAGTCCAGGCCCTCAGCGAAATTGATGAGGTCGTCGGCCGCCTCCTCCTCGAACTCGTCCTTCTCCGTCTCGGTCATCGCCCACAGCGGCTTGACGGCGGGCTTCTTAGTGCTCTCGCGCTGCTCCCGCTTCAACTTGTCAACGGCCCTTTGCTCTTCGTCCATCAACTTGCTCCGGGCGGCCAGCATCTCCTTCACGGCGCTCCGGTGCTTCTCGATGCCGGCCTTCATCTTCTGCTTGCGGACCTCCTTGTCTTTGTCCTCAATCTCGAACTGCTCACGCTCCTCGCGCATCTCGCTCTGGAGCTCCTTCAGCCACTCCACGTGCCGCCGCAACGCTGCGGACGGCCCCCGCTTCTTCACGGCGGGCTCGAAGTTCCGGCACGGGGCGAGGCCGAGCTGCTCGCGCTCCGTGTGCGAGCATGTGGTCTTGAAGGGCATGGTGCCGTCGGCTCCGCTGGCGGCCGGCTTGTTGGCTGAGTCCGAGGGCCGGTTGCACAGCATGACGCCCTTCCAGGGCGACGCCGACTCTACACTGGCACCGGTCTTGGCTCGGCTGCACGCAAGTGTGACCCTGGGCAAGGGGGACCTTTCGTGCGGCTGGTCTTACTCATCCACGGGCCTGGGACGCGTGGATACGGCTTCCTGGCCAGAGTGACGCAGACGCCGCCTTATTGCCGGTGTCGGTGCTTGAGTGGACAGGTGAGCGACGATCAAAAACAGGCCTTCCGCGAGATGACGTAGCGACCTTACGCCGTGACTTACGCGGGCCGCCGGCGCGGCACGCCACATTGGAAACGAGGGCGCTTACGCGCGAGCTGACGCGGGCAGCTTACGCGCCAATGTCGGCGCATACGACCCTGTTTTTTTTGCGTCGCCCAGGTGGTCTCTCGGGGTCGGTGCCCGACATGGAGAAAAGGGCGCCTCTCTGGCCCAGACCGCGAAGCGCAACATCGCGGCTACCTTTGCGCCCAATCGGGTGACCTGGTACACAGTCAACCCGTATAGTAAGGATGCGCGGTAAGGATGCAAAAGCCTTGGCGGCCACGGTGAACGTTTTTTTGAACGAGACGGGCCAGCGAAAGTCGCTATAAGGATGGGCCGAAGGGGCACAGATGCAAAGGCAACCTCGAAAATGTCGCTCATCTTTACTATGCGGGTCGACTGTATACGCCTTCCTGGGCAGGATGGGCCGAAGCGCGGCAATTGCCTGGGAACTGGTCGGCGCTGGTGGATCTAACATGCTCATGCTTGGACGACACGGGACCATTTGTTTCTGGCACCGCGTACACTGCGCTCAGTCTTGAGCGCTTTCCGCTCTCAGAGGTCTCCCGAATGTTCGAACTCATCTTTGCGCCCACACTCGCGTTGCTGACACATCGGAGCGGCGCGAACCTGTCGTAGATATCCGGAAGTATCTGGAGACTCCTGGAGGTCGCTGGAGGCCGCGAGGATGGTAATGGCGATGATGATGCTGCTGCTGTTGTTGTTGTTGATGATGATGCTGATGATGATGGTGATGATGATGATGATGATGATGATGGTGATCCCACGCTTCCCTTCGCTCCCTGCTGCCAGCAAAGACGATGACCGAGATCCCGGAATTTTCTCTTTCAGTGCCCCTCCGGGCCGGACATCTGGGGCCCGCTCTGCACAGGCGGCGAGACGGGCCAGGAACGCGCGCCGCCGGTCAGCAGCGAGCGTCACTCTAGGACAAACTCTCTGGGCCCAGCTCTCCAGTGTGAACCTGCAGACCAAGCGGGAAGTACAGGGGAGGCAGACGCAATCGAAGCCAAGGGGAAGCTTGAGCGAAAGGGGTTACAGACACAGCATTCTGCAACGGCGCGGCAGCATTCAGGCGAGGGGGCCGATGGACACGTACATGAGGTAAACTATGCAGTATCCCGCGCTTCCCCTCGCTCCCGGCTGCCAGCAAAGACGATGACCGAGATCCCTGAATTTTCTCTCAGTGCCCCTCCGGGCCAGACATCTGGGGCGCGCTCTGCGCAGGCGGCGAGACGGGCCAGGAACGCGCGCCGCCAGTCAGCAGCGAGCGTCACTCTGCGAAAAATTATCTGTGCCCAGCTCTCCAAACATCATCGGGTTCGCTTGCCCAAACTGGCTCCAGGCTGTCAAGCCGAATCCAACATGCTAGACATATCTTTCATTCTCTTGGCCGCAAGAGCGTCCGCGAAAGCCTGGGCGAGGCGATTGCACAGCGGCCGTGGGTAAGGCTCAGCCGCCGCTGTGACGAAGGTCCCGGCCTGCTTCCCGCGCATGGTCACGCGCGGCTGCTTCGCGCGGGAGCAGATCCCACGGCCGGAGCAGAGGCGCCCGACGCAACTCAGGTCGATGTTGTAGCGCCAGAGCTGCGTCCGCTTCCTCCAGCGCGTGCCGTCCTGGCAGTACTCGGCGACCGCCGTCCGCAGCACGCCCTTCGGCAGTCTCAGAAGACAGGGCTGCTGGAAGAGCCGGCTCGCCCAGGGGTTCTCGAGCACCGCTGGCGCGTTCCGCCGCCGGCGCTCGTCCATCGCGCGGGCGGCGAAGGCGGCCGGCGCGTTGCCCACCCCCAGCTCCTGCTGATCGTGCGGCTTCATGTTGGGGGGTCCGGTCGGGAACTCCGCGGTCCGCAGGGGCGGCGGCCCTGGGGGGCCCGATTCTCGGGCCTGCGAGAAGGCGTTGCACGGCGCGCCCAGCCAGACCGCCCGCGCCAAGCCGTGCTGGATGAGGCCCCTGATGATCCGCTGGCGCTTCCGCACTGTGAGGTCGTGCGTCTGGTGGTGGCGGATGTCGATCTCGTAGATGGGCGCGCTCGCCAGCCGCTGGTGCCTCCGCCAGCTGCGGGAAAGGCGACCGGAGCCCGAGAAGATCTCCAGGGCTATGCCGCTGCGCTCGGCGGCGGCAGCGGCGCGCGATCACCTCGAGAGGAGGCGGCCAACCCTTGCCTCGCAGTCGGCGCCGTGCCTTCGCATCGCAGCGCTGAGCGAGGCCAGCGCCTGGTTGACCTGGCCCCCCTTGGCGCGCCTGCGGGCCGACGCGTCGCTGCTCCGGCGCCCCCGCTGCCCGCTGCATCAGCCCCGCCGCGTCGCGAAACCCGGTGAGCGCCTCGCGGGGCGCCCCCCCGTGCGCGGGTGGCCCCGGGCTTCCGAGGCGCAGCCGGCGGCCCGCGTCGGCGATGCTCTGGGCCCAGTCGGCGTAGCTGAACCCGAACAGGTACCCCCCCTTTGCCTCCTGCCTGAGGAGGCCCAGCACGCTCCCCAGCCAGGCGAACTCCGGTTTGTCGAGCAAAAGCGACTCGTCGTGCGCCCCCGTCTTCGAGCTCGCCCCCTGCTCGAGGAGGTGGAGCACCAGCGACTTGCGGCTTCGACCGGCCCGCCCTCGCGGGGTGGAGGCGCCACGTCCAGGACCCGGATGCGCATCGCCTCGATCGGCGGGCCTGAGGATGAACGCGAAGGCCACCATCGCCGCGCTCGCCACCTGCAGCTCCCCCTCGAGCGCCAGCGCGTTGGCCGTGATAGCGGCCGCTGGAAGCGGGACCAGCAGCCGGGACTTAGCTGGAGCCAACAGCCGCCAACCCCTCTTGGAGGCGTGGCTCCGCGCCAGCTCGGGCGCCCCACGCGTGAACTCTGGGCGCAGGTGTCCCAGGGCCGCCAGGGGGTAGCTGCCGCTCCCCAGCCCGCTGCCCTCGAAGAACTGCCCGTTCATCCATGCCGCCGCCGCTGCCGCGTCGAGTGCCGACGCCGGCTCCACCGGCATCCTTGGCGCCCGTGCCCAGCGCTCGAAGACGGCCACCCGGTTGCGGTGGTTGGCCTCCGCGCGGGGCCGCGCGGTGCGGCGCTCCAGGAAGCTCGGCAGAGCGCTGGCGTCTGTTCTCTGGCTGCCGTACTTCTCCAGCCTCCTCCGCTTCCTGCGCGTCCGGCTCCAGCTCGGCCTGCGAGGCCCCCCTGCTCGGCGCGCGAGCGTCCGTCGCCGCGACCGGCCAGGGGGCCGCCCCCGCGCCCGCGCCTCGGCGCAGCTTGCGCGGAGCCGAAAGGCCCGCACTGGGCCCCGGCCGCCACGGCATCCGGCCTGGCGCTGAAGCCCGCGCCCCCGTGGTCGGGTGGGTCGGCCGGCTCGGCAGCGTCGCCTTCGGCATGGTGGTCGTGTCCGCGGGCTTCGGCGCCCCGCCCATGATCGTCTTCGCGACGCCGGGCGGCCGCGGCAGCGTCGCGCCCAACCGGGCCGCGCGCGGCCTCCGCGCTGCACAGCGGGCCGCCCCGGGAGCTGTCGTCGGCTGCGCTCCCCTCGGAGGGGGCCCGTCGGAGGTAAGCGGACACGGGGCCGATCAAACAGAGGGCGGCCCACTTTCTTACCGCGGGGCCCGCGCCTTAAGCCGATGAGCGGCCCTTGGAGGCGGCAGGGATGAACGACATGGCGCCCGGCAACATCGCGCGGCGCCTTCCGATGGCCTTTCGATCTCGTAGTATGTGCGTTCAAAGCCCACGCCCCCGCTCTGCCCTCCAGGACGACCTGTGCTTCCTGACGATCCCATGGGGATGATGGGACTCTTTCCCGGGCCCCCCCCCCACATGGGTCGAGGCACGCGCGGGGCGCGGCGCCGAAAAACTCTGAGATCAGAGACTTCCAGGTCTCCGCGAGCAGCCGCCGAGCCCTCCCCAGACCGTGAGAAGCGCCGCCGCTCGTTGAACTGGGCGGCCCCCGCCAGCCACTCCTCCGGCACGCGCTTCTGCATGGCGCCCCTGCCCCGCGCGGAGGCGTCGAAAAGGGTGGGCCGCGGGCCCCAGAGGGCGCCCGGCCGCCGCCGTGCCAGGGGCGCCAGCGCGGCAGCCCAGCGCAGCTCCTGCCGCGCACTGTCTCAGAGCCGGCCTGACCTGTCCTTCAAGACTTCGACGTGCGCGTAACTCGTCGAGAGGGCGCGCAGGAACTCCCTGCGAATCAGGGCTCGAAAGGTGTAGTGGCCGATCACGCTCGACAACTCGCGGCCGCTGACGAACTTCCTATCGGCCAGAGCCAGCAGGCCCATCCGGAGACGCCGGGCTGACCGCGGCGCCACCTCCACGGCGGCCTCGAGGTCCGAGAAACGCCTATTCAGCGTCTCGCCGCCAGCCCCCCAGCTCGGCGCGTGCGCGGGCAGCCTGGCCTCCTGCAGCGCCCGGGTGGCGGACGGGGCGCGATCCTTCACCTCCCCCGCGCCCTGGCTCAGCGAGATGAAATTGTCCACGTGCTCCGCGCGCAGGCCTGGGGCCAGGGGTGGCGGCGGCGCAGAGTCACGAAGCCGATCGCCATCGCCCATCGTCGTCGAGCTGTCGATGATGGCCCGGTGCAGCGTCTGGCAAGCCCAGAGGGCTTGCGCCCAGCCCGTCGGCGGGGGCCCTCAGCACCGGCGCGACGCGGTCCTGCGCGCGCGGCCTTGCCCTCGACGCTCGTCGCGTTAACCATGCCAGCCCGCGCAGGAGCCAAGCCGAAGTGCGCGCGGAGGTCGCTCGGCGGCAGCATCGCGCAGAAGGCGA